GACAGAGCCTGGAGGACCAGCTTCACTGAGATCCTCCTAACCCTTGCGTTGTTAGGAGAATGTAAGAAGAATCCCACTCAGAGCACTCTGATCATTTTCTATTGCTTGCTAAATATAAACATACAATATTAGTATTTTGATAGTAGCATCAAGCCATCAAAGCCCCTTTTGATTTTTATAGATACCAAATATATGTATAAGGAGTTATTATTACCTACTTTTACGTTACAGAAACTTTTCTTTGTGAGGCAGTTGACTATTTAGTATTACATTAATGCCTTTAGAAGTCTGGTTTGGAGATTTTATTCATAAAACACTGTCAAACCACTTAACATTAAACTGTCATAGCAAAGTCCAAACATGAACCTATGTAAATCTTAAAAGGTGACGTGACAAACAGTTCTGCTGTCATCTGTCTTTGACAGCATGTCCTCAGAACAGACCAAGTTATAGAAAATACTTCCTCTGCATCTCAATCTTATGCAAACACTAGCCACATTTTTCAGTCTTGCTCAACTGGCCACTTATAACTGAGCATATTTTATCAGGTATGTTGCACAAAGCAGCTCTTGTAGAAGCCTGCACTGAAATCACTGAGTGCTGAACCCTTCTGAAAATGTGCTCCTTCATCCTTGGCTGAACCTTTTGATTAATCCAACTGTTGCATTCCAACAGGGAGAGGTGTTTTCCTGTGTTATTGTCATAGCTGGGACCAATAAGGCTTAATAAACAAGAAATAAATCAAAATAGTTGTTTGAAATGTAAAAAAAAAAAAAAAGAAGAAGAAAAAGAAAAAGATGAAGATAAAAAAAGAAATATCCCAGAACAGCAGTGGTATGACTGGCTTAAAATGCATTAGATATATTTAGGAATTCATTTAGAGCTTGAGAGAGTTGTCTAAGCATGAATTTAAAGCACCGTTTGAGACACCCCAGAGTATCTGAAACACAAGATCAGCAGATATGGTACAGGATTGGGAGAGATCAATATTCCTCTGGGGCAGCAGCTGGGAGCCAGGTAGAATATGCTGCGGCATCTCAAACAATACAAGACACATATTCAGGCAGCTAAATCAAGTCTTTGAAGCACAGGGCCTGAAAGTTAGGCTCCTTCTAAAGTCAATGGAGAGAGACGCACGCCTTTGGAGAGTGATTCACCCCACTTGTCATAAACCACTCTCACAGATTGGCAAATGGAAGGCTCGACTGAGTTATTCACATCTAAACATGCAGCACTGTTTGAGATACCCCAGGGTTTCTAAGACACCTGACTGAGTTGGCAGGACAGTCCTTCAGGATGCCCGTGTCCTCCTGGGCTTGTGGTTGAAGGCCAGATAAAATACCCTAGAGGAGAGTATATGGCATTTCTGTTCCATAAGCATAGCCACCTAATGCTATTTGAGATGTCCATGCTATTTAAGATGTCCAAATGTTACTGCCAAACTTACAGAAGATTGAAGTCTGCTGCTGGCTGAAGGCAAGCGGGAATACCTCAGAGCTGCTAAAATTGCAGTATATGCTTATATTTAGGGAATTGGCTTCCACTCTATTCCACTATTATGTTTCTCTCTCAGAAGCCAAAATTAGGACTCTTCTGATTAAATGTAGAAATCTATAGTATAGATACCCATAAATAGGTATCTAGACCTTTAAGTCTAGATAACTATCTCAGATGTGAATATCTGTAGTTTTATTGTTAATGGAGAGAGAGAGTTTCATTCACTCAACTGAGTTGAGATCAAATACTACTAAAGAATGATTTATCTTATCCTGAAGTATATATTTAAAAGCTGAGAGATATCATTCCCTATTCGTTTACTACAGAGATGCCAAAAGTGATAGCCCTAGACTTGAAGATAAAAAAAGAAATATCCCAGAACAGCAGTGGTATGACTGGCTTAAAATGCATTAGATATATTTAGGAATTCATTTAGAGCTTGAGAGAGTTGTCTAAGCATGAATTTAAAGCACCGTTTGAGACACCCCAGAGTATCTGAAACACAAGATCAGCAGATATGGTACAGGATTGGGAGAGATCAATATTCCTCTGGGGCAGCAGCTGGGAGCCAGGTAGAATATGCTGCGGCATCTCAAACAATACAAGACACATATTCAGGCAGCTAAATCAAGTCTTTGAAGCACAGGGCCTGAAAGTTAGGCTCCTTCTAAAGTCAATGGAGAGAGACGCACGCCTTTGGAGAGTGATTCACCCCACTTGTCATAAACCACTCTCACAGATTGGCAAATGGAAGGCTCGACTGAGTTATTCACATCTAAACATGCAGCACTGTTTGAGATACCCCAGGGTTTCTAAGACACCTGACTGAGTTGGCAGGACAGTCCTTCAGGATGCCCGTGTCCTCCTGGGCTTGTGGTTGAAGGCCAGATAAAATACCCTAGAGGAGAGTATATGGCATTTCTGTTCCATAAGCATAGCCACCTAATGCTATTTGAGATGTCCATGCTATTTAAGATGTCCAAATGTTACTGCCAAACTTACAGAAGATTGAAGTCTGCTGCTGGCTGAAGGCAAGCGGGAATACCTCAGAGCTGCTAAAATTGCAGTATATGCTTATATTTAGGGAATTGGCTTCCACTCTATTCCACTATTATGTTTCTCTCTCAGAAGCCAAAATTAGGACTCTTCTGATTAAATGTAGAAATCTATAGTATAGATACCCATAAATAGGTATCTAGACCTTTAAGTCTAGATAACTATCTCAGATGTGAATATCTGTAGTTTTATTGTTAATGGAGAGAGAGAGTTTCATTCACTCAACTGAGTTGAGATCAAATACTACTAAAGAATGATTTATCTTATCCTGAAGTATATATTTAAAAGCTGAGAGATATCATTCCCTATTCGTTTACTACAGAGATGCCAAAAGTGATAGCCCTAGACTAGGCAACGAACAATTACATCTGAAGTAAGATAAATACTATCAGAAATTATATAATTTTAACTACTGATTGTTTCTGCAGAGTATGATCTAAGATTTCTCATTTACAATCAGCTGCTTATAAAGACTCATTATCTTCTCTGTAGTTGCCTGTTTGGTATAACCTGTTTTGTTTTGTTTTGTTTTGTTTTTCTATTCCCT